GTGAACCAGTATTTTAAAAAAATTGCAGCACAAAACAATAACAAATAGAAATTTTTAATCACTCAGAATTCCACCACTCTAACGCGTTAACAGTCCTTGGATGGCTCAAATGGTTAAGTGCTCAGCTACTAACCAAAACGTTGTGTGTTTGAGTCCACCCAGAGGCAGCTTGGAAGAAAGGTCTGGCCCTATGGAGCACAGTTCTACTCTGACACACATGAGGTCACCATGAGTTGGAACTGACTTGATAAGGGACTAATAAATCAAGTGTTTTAGTTTTTACAGTCTTTCCCTGTACAATATTAGAACTGCAGCATTATCTCTTTTTCTGCATAATAACTCAAGCATATAGACATACCACTTGGTATTCCACAAAGCTCAAGGCTGTGTTTTCCTCTTTATTCTCACCCTCTTCTATAAACAGAAGAAATGTTTCAGCTGAGAAGGAAAAATGGAGAGAGTATGCAGGCTTTGGAATTTTTTGATAATGTTGCTGAGATTTGGGTGAAAATTTTTTGGAAAAAAAAAAAAAATCTGTGAAGAAAAAACGTGGCTATCCATAGCACTTTACCATGTCTGCTGCAATGTTATCCCCTTTGCCTTCACTCCAGTTCATTTATCTTTGTTGAAAACCTTCAGCCCTGGCCTAAATCTCACAAACTATGTATTTGCTTTGATAGACTTGGAGGAACAAAACCTCACATATGACATCTCCATATGTGATAACACATTGAGGGTATTGGACCTGTTCCCAGGATGTGTTTACTCTTGTCTGTGTGACAGATTAGATGTAATTTTCTTTTTTAAACAGCTAAGTATAATTAAGAGGTCTCTGATGATGCTCTTAGGTACAGCTCAGATAGAGAATAAATCCTGTGAATAAATCCCACCATCCTGCAAGAGAGAGGGAGTAGAGACGGTCCTTCTTTAGCGCTTCTAGTGTGCTAGGATTTCCAAAGACAGTACAAATATATCCCACTAATGGCCCTGCATGGGGTGGATTATTCTCTGCTTGTCTGTCATCACATGGCTTCTTTTAACACCTTCCAAAGTTCAGATAAAAGTCATCTAAACATTCTATGAGGTTAACTAGGATCTGACTGAGGTATCATTTTAGCTAAAAAAAAAAAAAAAAAAAAAATTCCAGGACTTTAGGTTCAGGGTAAAATGAAGGTAGTGGATGAGCTCTTGGCGGCTATAGTAAGAAACCTGTGTTCACTTATCCCTTCAGCCTCCTCCTGGACAGTTATCTCTGGATGTTCCATTGTCACCCCAAATTCACATACATCATCTTCCTCACTGCCTCTCAGATGTGCTCCTGCCCCTTGGTAAGTGGTACTATCCACGAAGCTCCCTCTTCCTTAGCCCCAGGACTGAGAGATCACCAAATTCTGTTGCTTCTATTAGACTGAACCATATGAAATTGCCACCATTAGACCATTTTTGCCCATGAAACAGCAATTTAACATGCGTTGATCTAACATATCATTAATACTTAATGAAGCCATGCTCTCTTTTCTTTATACCCCCCAGCAATTTTCTCATTTAAAGGCCTTTATTTCTCATCTGGATTCCTGCAACTACCTCCTAACCAGTCTTGTTTTCTTCCAAGCAATCTCTTAACAGAAATGGGAACATGACACTCCCCTGCTGAAAAACCTTCAAGTGTTCACCATAGCCTTGATGATATAGTATTGTCTTCTTAACTCAAGCATACAAAGTCCTTCATGATCTGACCCCTGGTTACTACTGCTTCAGGTACTACCACTCCATACTCAGGACTTACATTCTACTTAACTGCTTGTTGGTATCTTTGTTGAAAAGATCACGTTCTGTTGCCTATTTCCTGGAATACCCTGCCATCAAAATCCCTTAACCCCTCTGCCTAATTTTAACTTACCTTTCAAAATCATCTCAGGCATCAGAAAACATGCTCCAGAAAGCCTTCACTACTCCCTTCACATATGCTCCCTTCCCCTCCAATCTGGGTTAGGGTTCCCTCCCACAGGTGCATCTAATATCCTGCCCTGTGAATATAGGACCACAGCAACATTTTAGTCAACACATATCCCCTTCCTTCACTAAACTGTATATTTCTTGAATGCAGGCACTACATCTTATTCATCTTTGCATCTCCAGAGGACAGCATAGTGCCTAGCATGGAGAGTGTGATTAATGAATGTTTGATGAATCAATAAATGAACAAATGCATTGCAATGCTACAGAGATTAGTGGGAAGCATCTGGAAAGGGCATACATTTATTGAAAAAGTAAACTTTGGGGTCTATGCACTTCTCTGAAAATTACTGGTCAAATTTTTCTGTAACAAATACTATTATACAATTGCTACCCAGCAAAACAATTTCTGACCACCAGAAAATGGTTACCTTATTTAAAATCCTTATTTAATACACTTAATTCCTAGAACAGCCAAGATTTGTCCCCTTTGATTATGTTAATAAGACCTGCTCTTCTAGGGCTGGGGACCCCCAGAGTCATTTACCCCAGTCGCATGATTCTAATGGTCCCCTATTAGCCTTAAAAAATTAATGCATCTACTAATCACATAATTTACTATCAAAGAGGGCTCTGGACATTGGAGAGAACAGAGCTCTTTAAAAATTAAAATTTTCCAATTTCCTTATATAAACATTTATTTATAGAATATGCCCCTGCATAAAATTTTTAGGGTCCACATGCAGAGTAGACTGGAAATAGAAAAAATTATGAAGGATGCCATTCAGGTCCTACCTTCTAACTCTTCTCCCTGATTATAATCTCCCCTTGCTCCAGTCCATTTTCCACCCAGCTTGCAGATTTCCAACCTATAACACACCTTTAATCAAGTCACAATCCTTTCCAATCCTTTCATGGCCCTACCGCCCACTAGATTCAGTCCAAGGTTTTGGCCTCAAATTTTGGCTTCTCTATATTCTGATTCCACCTTAAACTTTCCAACCATTTCATCTAATATGCATTAATATAATTCATGTTCTTCGGTTAGGTGGGCTACTCATTGAAGGATCCACATGCTTTACCCCTCTGGGCATATCTCGTGGTAGAACCACACCTGGAAATCCCCCCGACCCCAATCTGCCTAACAGAATCTTAGTATGATGCCTTCCATATTTTGTTTTTGCTCCCTCATCTGAACTCCTACAGCCCTTACTGCCACTGGTATTGTTATTCATAAATTGCTTTATACTATTTTCTAACTTCACTTGTGCCTTTGGTTCATATCCTTAAACAGCCTGGAAGATATCTGGGTCCCTCACAGCAGCAACTCAGTGCCTTGTTCTCAGTAAATATCCTTTAATATATTTTAACCACATCAAGAACCTCTTAGTTCTCATGGTAACTGCTCCTCCATATCCTAAAGTAAGAATCAGCAGCTGACCTCAAGCTTACAAACCATAATAACAGCCCCTGTTATCCCCAGATTCCTTTCAGAAGTAGGCACTAATACCTCCCATCTGACCACTTCCCAAATCGGTCCTGACTACAACTGGCAGTGCTGGCAATAGGCTTACACCCGACAGCTGATGGGGCTTCTAATTAGTTTTAAGCCCAACCTCTCTGAGCTTCTACTTTCCCTTGCCCCTAAAATGTCAGCAGTCTTTACAAGTGGGCTTCTTCCCTGAATCCCAGCATTATTCAGTGGTTGCTTGCTCTTGACTGGTCAGTCTTCCTAGGGTATAGACTTGGCCTCCAACCTCTGTCCTTAGCAAAGGTCATGTGCCAAAATGAAAGGACTAACCAGAACATGATGCCATCATCACCAGCCAGTCTTGGAGCACTGTCAGTGACTTGCTCTGCCCCCATCCATCAGACTGAACAACTGAGGTATCAGTGCCAGCCCAACTGAATGTTTTTACTGGATGCTGTGAATTACACAATTGGTCACATCCTCCTCCCTGTCCAGGGACAAACCCTATGGTCAGATCAGCCCCTCCAGCATGCTTTCTCACCTTTCTCACTTACCCTTTAGCATCCCAGCATGCCTCCCAGTCAAGCCCATTAGAGCTGTGAAAACAGCTGCTGCAGACAAATTTCCACAAATTTATAATTTGGAGAAGAAGGTCAAGAAATATATAGTAACCCAGTAACCAGTTTCGTTCAAGTCGATTTTGACTCATGGTGACCTTATATATGTCAGAGTAGAACTATGCTCCATAGAGTTTTCAATGGCTGAATTTTTGGAAGTAGGTCGCTGAGCCTTTCTTCCCAGGTACCTCTGGGTGGACTCAAGCTTCCAACTTTTTGATTAGCAGCCAAGTACATTAACCATTTGTACCACTCAGGAACTCCATATAATAATCTGCTAACCTGTAAATTCCTCTCTCCAGACTAAGTTCTTTGGGAGCAGGGTTACTATCTTATTCCTTTTTTTTTGTATTCTGAGCATCTGAATTGTTTGTTGTGCGTTGATGGATGAATGCAAACACTGCATGGCTCCTTCATCACTATTTAAATTCCAAACTGTTATCCTAATTTACTTCTTTTTGAGATATGAGTTCTCAAATGAGGAGGAAAATCCCATCTCCTGAGACAACTGATCCACTTATAGGTTAATCTCCCCCAATTTTTGGGCCTGGGCTGACAGTAAAGTTTCTCTACAGCAAAAGGCAGGAGATAATATAGACAAGGAGATCATCTTTGGAGTGATTGCTTTTAAAATAGCTTTTACTATCTTAGATGAAGGGTGCCAAATGCATATGGTGTACTATTATCGCTTCAATCTTTATTAATGTGAGGTTCTAAGTTTTTTTCAGTAAGCCCAGAGTGTTACTACACAATTCCATTTGAATCCACAAATACGTACCAAATGCCTGCTAGACAGCAGTGAGGTGAGTTCCCAGGCATAAGAGACAAATGTCTCCCAACAAAAAACTTCTAATCTGATGACAAAGGACAAGTACAAGAGTCTTCTTAAGCCTGGTGTGAAGAACCTCAGCCACTGACCAGTGATTTCTGAGGACTACAGAGGAGGTTTCACTCACCAGCACAGTACCCCACGAGGTTGAGGAACTGCTCCTCCTTGCAGTTGGTCCTGCAGTTTCCACCCATAAGAGTAACATGAGGGTGACAAGAGGTGCAATTAGATTCCAATGGGCCATGGCACTGCCTGCAGGTTGGGTGGCATTCTAGGTGGAAAAATAAGAACCAGGATCAGAATTAGCAGCTCAGCATGTGAATTCATGATGTATTTAATGTGCTTTGCAAAGTACATTAAGAGCAGACGTCAACTCTAATCATCTTTTGAAGGTTCCTGAGCAAGTCTGCATGCCCTCAGACTTGACCAAAACAAAAAAAATGAAACCTGTTGATGTTGAGTCAATTCTGACTCATGGCGACCCCATGTGTTACAGGGTAGAACTGCTCCATAGGGTTTTCTTGGCTGCAATCTTTATGGAAGCAGTTCACCAGGTCTTTCATGGAGCCACTGGGTAGGTTCAAACAGCCAACCTTTAGGTTAGTAGCCAATCACAAACCATTTGCATTACCAGGCTCCAAGAGGTGGCATTTATGGTGTCTATTAGAATACTGTCCAAGGACAGAACATGGATTCTAGAACCATAAAAAATTGAGTAATCGGCCATGTATTCCAGAGAGGCCAGCATGACCATCCCTATTTGTGCAAATAAGGAAGTTCAAATCAGAGTCACAAAGCAGAAAAGTGTGTTGTGAACAGCCCCTCCCCACCCCCACCCCCCCTAAATTCCCATGACTCAAGGAGAGAGCAGGACCTGAGTAAGAGGGAGGCATTTTGCTTCACAGGAATTCCTGGCAGGCAAGGAGGGAAGCACATATAGAATATAATACCAAAATTTTTCACTAGACTCAGATACCAACCATACTCTCCCTTCAGGCCACAACTTGATGCCTGTTTTAGCAGTCATACTTAATGAAAATATGAAGAACAGAAGAAGTTCTCCTTCTGGAGGTTACCAAGGTTGGGTCTGAAGTTCAATTTCTTAAATGAAATTACATCAAACCTATGTTTTCCCTAGAAAAACCACCAAATAAACAAGAGGTACTACATTTAAAAACACAGGTGAGCCACTTTAAGGTGTAGGAAATAAAGATAAGGCTGGCAAGGAATAAAAGGAGGTTGCAGCTACAGCTGCACTCTTGTTGCCAAGGAAGGCCGCAGAGGTAAGAGCATGGAAGGAGATTGAAGGATTTCCCTGCCAAGGACGAGGAGGTCTAAGTGTGTCTGCTTCCAAGAAGAGGGGAGGTGAGGGGCTAGAGCTGGGTAGAGGTTGCTGGAACTGATGACAAAGAATTCCCTTCTGGCACATAGCTGGTGGATAGCAAAGGCACAGATTTCAAGTAAAGTAAACAGCCTCTCACTTCTTCTGGCAAGAGGCCAATAGAAGATAAGGAGTTACCAAAAAAAAGCAAGCAAGTAAGAAAATGAATTGCTGATTAGAAGGATAGCACTAACAATCACCCCATTCTACATTCCTGAGGCTCTTAACTGTGAAAATGCCCATCCAAAAGATACTAGCGTTCTCTGAAATTTCTACCACCCAGTTTTTTCTCCCTGCCGGAATATTTCCAGTGACCTGGGTGCCCTTCTGCTCATGATACTATTCCATCTGCTGGCTTCAAGTGGATGGAGGGGAGAACAGAGAAGAGTTAGAGTTACTCAGACTTTACTCCTCCAAACAATTTTACACACATGAAAACCAACTGGGCTAGGATGAAAGCACCTAATGATAGAAACAGCTTTCAAAGATAACCCTAATGACAAACTGAGAAGATTGCCCACAGAGCTTGATAGAGAGTTTAAAGGTAAACCAGCCCACCAGGGACCTAGAGAGATTAAAAACGTACTTGGAAAAAGTAAGAAAATTCCAGAAGACGACTACTATTGATCTTCAATCACCTAAATTTGTGCTCACACTAAATTTCCTCTTTGGAGGAAAAAGCTAGAGGAATCTGACAAGATTAAAAAAAATTTTTTTATAAATCCATTACATGTTTTCTGATCCCAGGTCCTCCATGTAAGACAAATTCATGACAATAAGCTTTTTCCTATTAGCTAGCCTCAACAGTTTATTTTTGGAAATAAAATAATAATCTTGATAGAATGTGCTGGGGTTTTTTTTTTCCTTTTCCCCCGTGAACACAAGAAAACACAGTGCTACAATAAGATGTTTTAATTTTAGAATTTTGTCGATTCCAATAAAATCCTGCACTAATCTCAACTCGTAATTTCGAGGATCTCTGTCACTGAAATATAAAGGTGCTCTTACTGCACTAACATGTCAAGCAAGGAAATAATTCTTTCTCTTCTTGTTCTATTCTGCTCTAGCCAAAGGAAGTGGGGCTGAGAACTACAGAGTAAAGCCAGATACCTAATTATATGCAAATGCATCAGCATATGTGGTAGCTTGTCTTCCAGATGACCACACATCAATTACTACCCCGCTGTATGCATAAGCTATTTCTCCACCTCCTCAAATCTAGGCTGTCCTGCTTTGACCAACAGAACACAGCAGAAGTGAAAGTGTGACTTCTGAGGTTAGGTCCTAAGAAGCATTACAGCTTGTTTAGGTGTCTTGGAATAATCACTCTGGGAGAAGCCAGCTGACATACAAGAAGCTTTACTACCTGAGACTGCCATGCTGTGAGGAAGCCCAACTAGCCACAAGAAGAGGTCTCATAGATTGAGAGATGTTTAACCAACCCAGGTGCCAGACATGTCAATGAAGAAACCACCTACAGTACTCTGAGAGAACTGCCCAGCTGAGCTCAACAACCCCAGGAACTGTGAAAGATAGTAATAAATTATTGTTTTAAGCCACTAATTTTGGATGGCTTGTTGTGCAAGAATAGATGACCAGAGTAGCACCTCAATGAGAGTAACAAAGTAGAAAATCTCCCTAGTGTCCTTGAGTGTCCCAATCCCCAAATTTCAAATTTTTCCTCCATCTTTTATGTGAAAATGGAATAGTATGCAGCCATGAAAAATATATGTGTGTACATATATATACATCTCTCTATATATATACACTTATTATACTCATCTTATATACATAATTATATATGTATATATACATGCACACACACATATACACAGATATATAATATATATATTATATAATTTTCCATGACTTAGGAAATTATGACTTAATGTTTGGGAAAAATAAATCAGAAACAAATTTTTAAACTTTAAAAATAACCACAGCAACAAACAGTTACGCTGAATTGAGTTCTGGTTCTGATAGGACATAAAGGTCATCATTTACTCCATGAGGGGAGTTATCTATTCAGATCATGGTCTCCTAGGCAAGAGAAAACTCAGCTCAGAGTTCTTATGAGAAAATATTTAATCACTCAAATATTATCCTCTCAAAGGTAAAGCTATTCTAATTTTTCACTTCATTCATGCTTCCTTATTGGAGGAATAGAATTTACTTGTTCTCTCTTGGGGGGTCATCTAGCTCAATTGGCATAACATAGTTTATAAAGAAAATGTTCTATATCCTACTTTGGTGAGTAGTGTCTGGGGTATTAAAAGCTTATAAGCAGCCATCTAAGATACTCCACTAGTCCCACCCCATCTAGACCAAGGGAGAATGAAGAAGACCAAAGACACAAGGGAAAGATCAGTCCAAAGGACTAATGGACCAAAACTACCACAGCCTCCACTAGACTGAGTCCAGCATTTACTAGATGGTGCCTGGCTACCATCACCAACTGCTTTGACAGGGATCACAATAGAGGATCCCGGACAGAGCTGAAGAAAAATGTAGAACAAAATTCTAACTCACAAAAGAAGACCAGACTTACTAGTCTGACGGAGACTGGAAAAACCCTGAGAGTATGGCCCTTGGACACCCTTTTAACTCAGTAGTAAAGTCACACCTGAGTTTCACCCTTCAGCCAAAGATTAGACAGGCCTATAAAACAAACAATAACACACATAGCTCAACCATGTATACAAGACTAAATGGGCACACCAGCCCAGGGGCAAGGATGAGAAGGCAGGAGGGAAGGGGTAAGCTGGACAAATGGAAATGGGGAACCCAAGGTCCAGAAGGGGAGAATGTTGACACATTGAGGGGTTGGCAACCAACGTTACAAAACAATATGTGTATTAATTGTTTAATGAGAAACTAATTTGCTCTGTAAACCTTCATCTAAAGCACAAGCAAAAAAAAAAAATTTACTTCTTCTCCGTACTCTATTCATTTACTCCTGTAAGCTCACGACAAGAATTTACAGTCCCACCCCAGCTCCCTAGTATGATGAGTTTCTAATCACAGTATCTGGCTGAACTGTGAAGACAAAACATTGGCATAGGGAACGTGCCCGCATGTTACATACTCACCTGTGCAACTGCCTTCCTGGTTAAAGTATCCATCTGGGCACTGGGAGAGGCACTGCCCATTGAACAGCACATGGGAAGACTGGCAGGTTGTGCAGTTATGCCGGCTCTTCCCTATACACCCAAAACAGGATTTGTGACAGGCTGAAAGATAAAGCAGAGGAGACAGTCAGGAAAGCTGCCACATGACAAGTGCAATAGTTCAGCATTCCTGGGTTGGAATAAGTTCTGGATTTGGTTCTCCTAAGGAAAAGGTATACATCTCACATACTTCTTTCTAAAGGCAACCTCCTGCAAAGTGAGCATTTGTGGAACACAGGTTAAATAAGCTGCAAATGCCACAAAACAGAAATAACCATTTGAAGACTCATGCATTTCTTGCTTCCCAATCTTCCATTCTCAGAGAATGTCATACAAAGATCAGGAAGCCATAAAAAAGGTCTCCCTCCCACAGAACAGCTCCTTGACCATCACACAGAGGTCATGGGATGCTTATCAGGCTGCTCAAATTAAAGACAAAAGGCAGTGGAAGCTTCATTTATGATTATACAAAGGTTTATATGGTACCTACTCTGTAATGAATCGTGGACATACACAGATGAGAAGAATTAGCCACCATTTTGAGCTGCTCAATCTAGTTGCAACAACAGACACATAAGCAAGTAACTGGAATACAGTGAAAGGGAGACAGAGAGCAGCACTAAGAACAAGACTGTCTCACTGCAGCTCTACATGACCTTGACTGAGTTGCAGTATTTCTCAAGGCTCCTTCCTTTATAAAATGAGGACATAAACAGTCCATACCTGCATGCAGTGCTGTGGTCACTAACTGGGCTGACGCACGTAAAGTTCTTACACTGGTGAAGGACACCATAGTAAGTGCTTAATAAATCTTAGCTACAGTTATTAACATTAAGTGCAGTGTTAGAAGTACCCACAAGTGTAATAAGAGTAGTAGGAGGAGAAAGAAAACATCTCTGCCTGCTTATATCATACCTTTAAGGATAAAAGGGATATTTGTTATTTTTCTCAAAACGGCCAGCCATTCACCTCCAATCATTCACTCATTAAATTTTTACTGAGCTTCAAGTTAGTCCAGGTGCTGGGGATACAATGGTGAGCAAAACAAAGACATGGTTCTTAACCACAGGGATGACCCTGTGCATTTCAGGCCAACTTCTGTCCATTGGACAAGATCCAACTGACTACAGGCGCACACCTCTGAGTCTCCTTTTTGCCTTCTCTATCTTCTCTATTAAAAGCCCAGAAGACTTAGAGGCCAGCAGGCTTGGAAGAACTGGATGTGATTTTACCGTTGAAGTTTCCATTTCAATGAACCCCCCTACAAAAACATAACATACAACCTTCGATGCAGGTGGGGCAGATATTCAGCTAGGGTGTCCTAGTCCAGCAGTACTCGTTGTTAAAGTATTAAATTACTTCCATGCAGGTTGGTATATGGCTGCCTAACCTAAGCTCTCTATTGCTTCCCTGCAGCCTTGGCCCCACATAGCCCTCCTTCCTGCTCTACCCATGACCCAGCTGTAAAGCATTAATACCAGCACTAGGAGGCCTCCAGACTCTGCTGCTGAGCTGAGGCCAGTGCCCATTCTGACTGGGCAGTGCCTTTCCCTCACTGGTTGATAAACATTTTCATTATCATCCCTAATACACTGTAGAGCTTTGTAGAACCTCATACCTATTCAAGGGTATTTGTTACTATATGTAAAACAGAACCTAGAGCTTCATATTTTTAATTAATTTTTTTCTTTTTAAAGATTAACTTGTTAACAGCTCTCTTAACATAAGTCACAGTAAGGGATTTTTTTCCTCAACTATTTTCAGAACACTTGGCAAAGAATATTGAATATACCATGGACTGCCAGAAGAATGAACGAAAGTGTCTTGGAGGAAGTACAGCTCCTTAGAAGCAAAGATGGCAAGACTTCATCTCACTTACTTTGGACATGTCATCAAGAGGGACCAATTGCTGGAGAAAGACAGTATGCTTGGTAGAGGTTAAGCAAAAAAGAGGGAGACCCTTGATGAGATGGATTGACACAGTGGCTACAAGAATGGGCTCAAACACAGCAATGATTGTGAGGATGGTGCAGAACCAGGCAATGCTTCATTCTGTTATACATGAGGTTGCTCTGAGTCAGAGCCAACTTGATGGAACCTAACAAAAACAATTTTCAGAATCACTGAAAACATAGTTCATCTTAAAAAAATGAAATGGATTAAGTAAACTGATATTTAAGAAAATATTATTATAAAAGTGCGGTATACAAGAACCCATTATGTAAAACATTTTTAACACGAAATGAAACCCCATATAATGGAAAGTCAGGTGGCAATATCTCAAGAAACAGTCCAATTATATTGTCACCACAAAGGTTTCCAGGAAGATTTGGGGAAAGCAACTTGAAGCAACACAATATTTCCTAGATATTTAAACATATCTATGATAATACAAATACGCTTTTATTGGACTTTGCAAGATTGCTAAAATCCCCACCTCTTCCTGTTATACCTCCCTATTAAATAGGAAATGAGTGTGTATCACTGTGAATTTGAAAACTGGGTAAAGATGAATTAGTATATTATGAGCATATAACATATTTTATTTCATTCTACTTGGTCACAAAGTCAATGTGATGGCCTGACTCAATGTGAATAAAGGTTATTACGGAATTATATAAGAAAGGAAGGCAAAGAGGACACACAACTTGGAAAGCTGGTGGGCCAAGAATTCTGGGAGAAAGTCCCATAGCTGAAGATGCAGCTGCTCTATCATTCACTTAGGTACACACCAGAGTTAGAAATAAGCCCCACTGAGCTTCACCATGGCAGACTTCAGAACTGCCCTTACTGGAAGTGTTTAAGAACCAAATTGGCTCACCAGTTACCGTGTGGCACAGAGGGAACGGATATGCTGGGTGACCATCTTCTCAAAGTGTCTTGTTCTTTATAATGCTGTTTCTGTAAGTGCAGGCATTTATATCTGCATTTCTTAAAAAAATCTCATGAAACTTCATTTCTGTGCTGCTTTTGGAAATGTGTACATTGTTTCAGTGACTTTTATGAGGCTTGATCATTCTACAGAAGTTGATTTCATAGAAGTTCTGATCTGAAGTCTAAATCTTTCAAGGAAGACTAACTCCATTACAAGGCATAGATAGAAGAGATTTGAAAGAAGTTCTATGAATAATTCCTCTACGTAATACTACATTTTTAGAGAGTGGCTTTCCAATGATGGCTAACTATATTTCTGAAAAACCATAACTAACTGAGCTGCTGAAGTACTAAAAGTGTCAGCACTAAATGTGTCCTTAGATGGTTGTAAATTCCAGCCAACCTGATTCCAGTAAAAAACTGTACCTAAAGCAATTAAAACATATCAAATTTTGTTCATTCTACTCCCTATTTAAATTTCAAACAACTAATACTACAACCTCCCTTTGCTTTATTATGGTGAAGATCACCTAACATAAATTAACCATTTTAATGTGAACAATTCAATGTCATTTAGTATATTCACCTTTTAATCACTCCAAAGGGAAACCCCATCCCCATTAAGAAACTACTCTCCATTCTCCCCTCCCTCCAGCCCCTGGCAACCATAATTTGAACACTTGAACCTGAATAACCTAAACACCAGTCTTTGTTCTGTCTCTATGGATTTACCTATTGTGAATATTTCCTATAAGCAGAATTATACAATATGTGACCTTTTTTGTCTGGCTTTTTTCACCTAGTATAATGTTTTCAAGGTTTACCCATGTTGTAGTATGTACCAGAACTTCAATTCTCTTTATGGCTGAATAATACCCCATTATATGTATATACTACAATTTGTTTATCCATTCATCTGTGGATAGACATTTGGGCTGTTTCCACCTTTACACTACTATGAATAGTGCTGCAATGAACATGCATGTATACATATTTGCATACCTGTTTTCTCCGTATTTGTTTTAATGATACAAGAAAGTATTACAACATTCCTACTTTCATATCAATTTAAATTTCCTGGCTTTTCATGTCAAAAACAAGTTTTGAGGTAGGCTTCTCTCAAATTATAATGTAGATATCAAAACCCTCCAAGCCAAATAGTAGGAGTACTGTGATAGCCAGTAAAAACAATTGTCGTCAAGTTGATCAGACTCTTGGTGACCCCATGTGTCAGAGTACAACTGTGCTCCATAAGGTTTTCAATGGATGATTTTTCAAAGTAGATCACCAGGCCTTTCTTCCAAGGTACTTCTTGGTGGACTTGCCCCTCCAACCTTTTGGTTAGCAGCTAGGCATGTTAACCATTTGCATCACCCAGGGAGGAAAAATGAAATGAGCAAAGTCAAACAAAATTGACGTCCTCCTTTTATTCCTTCACTTCTTCCTCCCTACCCTTCCTCTTGTTTTTTTTTTTTTTTTTGTAAATGAACATGATTTAACCCTCCCCCCACCCCAGACTGGGAAATCTTTAAAAGTAAAAACCACATCTTTTTCATCTTTGTGATTCCAACAGTACCTATCCTGTCCCCAACATGTCATAAGAACTCAATAAATGAATTTCTGCTAAGTGAATGGGTGGGTAGGTATAAGGGTGGGTGGATGGATGGGTGGAAACACTGGCTTCACACTCCCCTAGTTATTTTATCTCTTTGTTTTGTTTCAAGCTCTTTCACTATCTCCCTTGTAATTGTTGGAGCTTCCCAAAATTCCTCCCTCCACCCTTTCTCTTTTCACTCTTGAGCAAATTTATCTGTGGCTTCAGTGATGACCGCCATGACAATGAGTGCCAAATTTATGAGTACAGCTGTGGACTTTACCTTGAGTTCCAATGACAAATCTAACTGCCTAGGGGATATCTCTACTTGGTGTTTCATAAATATCTCATATTACTCATGTCCAAAACACTACTCATTAGCCACTCCTAGCTCAGCCCATATCCACTTGACGTAAGTTATAACATCGCATTCCATGTGTTCGAAACTAAACTCATTATCCACCTCCAAGCCCATATCCTATTCTCCCCAACCTCACCTTTCCATTGTATTTGCTATCTCACTTGGTAGCCCCACCATTCACTGTCACTCACTTTGGAAAACTTGGAGTCATCCTATACTCCTACCTTTCCATCA